CTTCTGAATATCAAATCAGAAATTGATTCTGATCATTCGTTTTCGATATACAGTACATTTCTTTTTCAACCTTGGTAAAAATGAGTTGAACCAATTAGTGCTGTGAAATTTTCAAGCGCCATCGTGAATCACTCACGTACGCTCTTGATAATAATAATCTTCCCATCTTAGATAAAACATTAAACTCGATTCACCTTGATACTGCGAAATTGGAACTCCTCATCCAAATACACATTTCCTTGGGGGCTTTCTTCGATGCGTAGATGATAAACTTTTGATTCGAAACTGATAGACTGAGAGTTTCATTTCCTGTTAGTAATGCTTACCTCACGGCTATCGCAAAACGCATTTGATTGGTTCCGAAACGAATGAGAAATGTTCCATTTGGAGTTCCTAATAATAGTTTTGTAGCTTCAGGTCCAGTCAGAATGCCGTAATAAAGTTTATCTAGATGCGCAGTTCTCTGCAAAGATGGCATGAGTAAAACATTACAATTGAAGTTTACCGCATAATGAGAGTCGCCGTCATCGTCACTCTCCGTTGAGGTGTAGGAAAATCTTTCAAGCCTTTAACGAATGAATACAATAATTATTGGTAGATTGAATCCTTACAGTGTCATGAAGGCCTTCGCGAATTCGTCGGCGTCTGACTTTTTCTTGAAATAAATATTTATATATCTGATTGGTGTTGAGAATCTGTTGTCATTCTTAGTTTGTCTGATAAACCTGAGAGCAGGCTCAGGATGAGAAGCTTGCTCATCATTTCTACAAAAATTGGTTTCGTGTCTGATAAAATCTCAAGTATATAAATCGAACCTGTTTGTTATAATACTGTTCAGAATGAGCTCGCTCACAGGGTATGATTTCTCATATGTCACACTGTCTCCCTGGAAAGAGTGTAGTCATTATGAATGGTCTGGCTTCAACATACATGCTTGAAGAACACCAAATATTTTTGAAATAAGTAAACTGCCCGGTAAACAACCTTCTTCGTATTGTAATCAGATGATTCTATCATCTTTATATCTTTGTGGATGATGAGTTCACCAAAGCCTTCCGTGTAAAGGGAAGAGTTTTGAAAAAAGTTTTCGTTTCCATGCTAAACTTAGTTGCTTTAAAGACAGGTAGAAACAGCTCACCTTTATGTATTTATTGACTTTCATCTCCAACTGCTTTATGAGATCGATTTCTTCGAATGATTTCCTAACTTGGCTCACTGAGGACTCCATACTAATCAGCGACTGACGATACTCCTCTCTGGACTGGCCAACTGCCACATCGACTGAAGCTTCATGTATTTCGAGCTAAAAACAATTGCAAATGTAATAGGAAAAAATCGATTGATATACTTGATTGACACCTGACTCAGTTTCACTACAAGGAGATTCCACACTGGGCGAATAAATAGTTTTTTCGGAAATTACTGAGGATGCTTTGGATGTTCGATCTTCCAACCTCAGCTTCCTGGGATAGAGCTGCGACTTGATAGACATGTTGCAGGATTGATACGCTGAGCGAAATCAACAACAAAAAAACTTCTATGATGCGTAAGACTAGCCAACCTTATCATTCAGTTCAGAACTATTTCGAATTCGAAGTGGAGAGTCATGATTCAAAACAATGAGATATTTTGACGGAAGCTAATCATACACAAGCGTCTTGAAACTTTTCTCTCTCGTTTCAACTTAGAGATTAGCCATTTTTCTGTAGGATTTATGATTAGAAATTAAGAATGGATTATCGCTGAGAAACCATCTTATCAAAATCCAGTTATCAAATATGGAATTATGCGTCATATTTCATCCCCAGAGTTCATTTTTCATACCAAAAATAAAGAAAATAGTTGAGAAGGTATGCAAGCTGAAGTAATCAAAGACTGTAACCTGTGCTCTCTCCCTCGCATCAACCAGTTTTCTAAGTTATCTCATGTGATTTCGATTGAGCTTTGTCATTTCAAAATGTTAAAAGTTTCTAAATCGTTTGTAATTCCTCTGCCATCTCTGTAAGTTTCCTTGATAAATTTGTTATCAAAAAGTATGTGAGTGGGCTGGCAGAATTTTAATCAGGAAAGAGCTTTAAAGAGAGGCGATAAGAAGAGAGTCAAAGATTCCCAACTCGAGGTGAAGCGAAGACAATGGCTCCCATAAGTACGTTTTAAATTCAATGAAAATTTTTCCAATTTCCTTTAGCCTTACCTCATATCAATTTCATATCCTTCCTTTTATGTCTTTTCATTGTATGTTCTGTATTTGCAGCCTTGGAACATATCAATGTTCACACCACCAGCTTTGCTGAGATCACCAGACGTGAGAAGGCCGAGCTTCAAGTAATATAAACTTCACAATATACATTACGAATTCGAAAAACTTAGGGCTTGAACAATCGTTTGGGGCAATACATCGCTCGCGTGCGTCTGCTTGAAGATCAGAACAAGAGATTCGTTGGAGATTTGCAACAATTGAGTCTCAGCTGGGGACAGAAGAATCGTGATAATCGGGTAAACTTTCATACTATTACATATTCATTCTCTTCGAAAATATTTCTGAGCATACCATCTGCACATGACTGATAAGGCAGCAAAAATTATTCTGCTAATGAGAGAAGCTAAATTAGCATTAATGTATTGTTTTATAGGTTCGCATCTCAGTCGATGTCAAAGCATACCGTCAGAAGATCGGTCAAGCTGAACGTGCTCATTTCGAACACGATGTTCGTGCTAAGCGTACTCATTTCAGAATCAACGTCTTGAAAAAGAGGTAAACCCAACATTATCTTTCGTGACGTGACAAGCAGTTCGCAAACTGAAAAAAGAATTAATGCCATCGCACACAAAACTATTTTATCAATGTTTTACGATTTGCATTCGGTTTGAGAGTCGCAGCATATTCCACCTCATAAAACGTTTTTGTAATAAATCGCTTTAATCTAAAAAGAATTTTGCTGCCAGATTACAAAGGCGACGCTTCAAAATTTTTTCAAAATCAGAAACGTAAACATGCACAGCGAAATGCTTCCCATTCCAATCATCATACAACCGCTTCGCACTTTGTAACTGTGCAAAATTGAATGTGCACTCCTGCCAAACTTATAACGTGACTTCGCTGACGTCACACGCTATGTAATGATATACCCTAGTTTCTAATGATCCCTACCCAAACTGAAGAATCTGAACGACAATAAACTCAACTCTCTTAAGAATCGCTGATATTCACCGTCTTCGTGATGGCGATAGACATGGTCTTCAGGATTACGAGAAGTCTATCAGAGAACAGCTTTCTATTCTCGCCCAACATCAAGAGAGGTTGGAGAAGCATATCAAAAGTTAAAAATTCAAAATTCTTTAAGATATCAACGTGTTCTTCAAGAGGAGGTCGGTGTCTACACTGAGAATCAACGTCTTTATGCTGAGCTCGACCAAGTCTACGATGTATTTTGATATATTTCATTTTTTCAACTATTTATGATACGTTCAGCATGTTGACAGCATCACCATTGACACTCTTGACTTACAAAGTCAAATTAGAAGAATCGAACTGGAAATCGGCTTGCTCAGAAAGTGAGAACTTCTTCCTCTATCATGAATATGCTGCGTTTTTAGGATCCATGACACTGAAGTCGTTGAACTCAGCAAGATGGCTATCTTAGCTCCAGCTGACACCAAGGAATTCTTCAAGACCGAAATTGCATTGGCTATCAGGTAACAATTTGCTTGAGCGAATCATACTATGAGTTTTCTATTCAGAGATATCCGCAAGGAATTCGATAACATCCACAACATCACCATGACCAGAATGAGAGGCGTTCATGAACAGAAGGCTTGTGCAGTTTTACATAAACCAAATTCATAAAGTAATATTGCAGATCTCAGCAAGACGCGTCCACCATGTATATGATACTAGAAAGACCGAGATCGTACGTTATCATGGACGCAGACTCTTATTTATGTTATGTGTTTTAGATTCAAAGTTGCCGTATCAAGACTGAAGAGATCCTCCAAAAACAGAGTGGAATTGAAGCTCTCAATGCTCAACTACAGAGCAAGTTCGACGCTTTGAGCCTTCAAGTAGAGCTCCTTATTTGGTCAGAAGTTACTTTACATTTCTATTTTAGAGAGAAGAAGATCAAAGAAGACACGATGAAGAAGTTAGAAAGCTTGATGACCAATATGAGTTTGCTCGTGATGATTACAGAAAACTTGTAAGTTTTTCATTCTTTTTTCTCTTTCTGTTTGTATTCACTATGCATATTGATTACAGTTATCTGAGTATGAAAACTTGGTTGCTATCACCAGTAATAATAACTCTGAAATTGCTATCTACAGAGCTCTTGTTGAGGGAGAAGAAAAGAGGTTAAACTTTTGTAATCAACCATTTTCATGAAAAATGAATTCCAGAGTTGGAGTTACCCATGACCATCATGTAATTACCCATGTAGCCGCCCCTGTTCAAACCATCGTCCACGAGCAAGATATCAACGCTAGTGGAAGAAACGATATCACCTTCAGAACTCATGCCACCGTATGCCATCTTAACTATATTTCCCTGAATATTTTTTCCTCAGGGTAACATCGTTCTTCATTGCGATCCCATCGGAAGATCAATCACTTTGGAAAACAAGAGCCTCATCGTAAGTAGCTATTTCAAAAATCAAAGTATACTATCTGTCTACAGTCTGAAGATGTTTCCTCATGGAGAATCTCACGTAAGGTTGATCACCAACCAGAAATCAGTTATGTGATCCCACATGGAGTTAGTGTCCCCCCCAAAGCTCGAGTGAAGGTAGGCTGTATTATGCATTGTGTCCTCATAATTATATAATAGATCTTCCCCGGTGGTACCATCAGAGACTCTTCCGCCTTGGTTAACCATGAAATTACAACATGGGGAATGGGAGCTGTAGTTTCAACAGTACTATACAATCAATATGGAGCCCATAAAGCCGATCACGAACAAAAAGCAGCTGTTGAAGATGTATAATCAATAATTACCTTTTATAAGCAGTGTATGATAATAGTTTCTTTCGAGAAACCATAGCATCCGTATGTGAGAGTGTAAAACTACTTTCAATAAGATGTGATCGTATTATGTCATTATCAGGTGTATCGTAGAAAATAAAGGCTATCACTATTCAACAAAAGAGCTATGATGCTTCGCTAGCTATGATAATTCTTTTCGATAAGATAATCTAGATAATTCAAACGCTTTTCAGATTTTCAGGCTTCTTGTGTACAGTTTAATTCCTTATCTGAACTATACTCCCTCCCATGACTTCTTTGTTTGAAATTTTTATCAGTTTCATAATTTTGACTGTTCTTGGCATACGTCAGATTCCAAAAACTCTGGAAACTGAGGAATAGTTACAAACTCTCTCTCATAACAAAGATTGAGAATAGGAAGCAGAGATCACATCTGAAAATCTGATTCATAGATATCTTGTTTGATGATCTAACTCATAATTGATTTTACTACTGACATCATCGATCAGTTTATCACTTTTTTTATTCGTTCTCCGAATTGATACTTACAATGGAATTATCGGGTGAAGGCTTGTTATAATCAATAGGTCGACTGATTAAAGATTGTATTGAAGCTTCAATGACTTTCACTGTTATTGCTCTGAGATGAGAAATCTCTTCGGTAATTTTTAAAAAATGGCGGAAGAAGTCTGGCCCGCGATTCTCCCATAATTTCAGAAGAATTGATGAACACGAATAATTCAAAACAACAAAGAAACAAACAATAACAAACAACATAAAACAACTAAAAATTCAACAACACTGGTATGGAGCTGTTTCACTCTCATTCCGGGAAAATCTTAAAAAACATCTCATCTCCTAGTTACTGTCTTCACGTGTTTTCCACGTATTCTTTCTTCCTAGGACTTATTTCTCTTCATCCATCCTATCGTAACATTAGAAGGATAAATAACAGTACTAAAAACTCATTAACCCTTTATTCGTTTAGGCAAATCGATATGGATTAAACTTATTACGTACTACATTGGCTGTTACCATATGAGAGAGAGAACTATTCGAAGTTTGCATTTCATGGTGAAGTGAGGAGAGGTCAAACTAACAGAATCAAAAAGAGTCAGTAATCAATTATGTTTATTAGTCTTTGCAAAAAAAATAGCTCTTACAAACTAAAAATACGATTTTTAGTGGCTTCATCTGTATGTTGACGTTTCCTTCTGAAAGATGGCTAGAAACAACCGCTCATCGCATCTGCAAACTGAGAAATGGACGGTTCATTCGCATATCACGTAATGCGCGTGAATTATTCAAATGACGTCATAGATGTTACAGAAAATTTGTTTTGATTTCGGCTTCCAGTTACTCTCCGCTTCAATGAAACTCTGTTTATTCAACTCTTCATCTGATTACGCGATATAACATTTCATTCATCCCTTATCTATTTTTATTGTCCTCTAATTGCTTAGTTAATGATACAAACAAAAAGGAATTTATGACTGCTTAAAGAACTCACAGACGGAAACACCCAGACTTTATACAAATAAGTCTAATGTGGGGGCTAAAAAAGGCAATGACAAAACAACAAATCAACATTTATGGGAGACAAGGCAATGTACCCGAATGAATGACAGAACTTACAAAACGAGGAACATAATGAGTAATCTCTTCATCTTTTAATGATCTTTTCATCTTTTTTTCTCTTCCATTCATTGCTGAATAAACATATGAGACCATAGAAGGTTATAGGCGTGAAGAATGAGCAAAGGAGCAAACGAAAGCGGAGGTGGAACGTGTGATAGATAGATGAACAGCAAGAATATTTAGAAGAAGAGGAGGGTAATCAGTTTCTCACTCATTCTCATCAATCGCATCGCATTCACAATCGTTTCTTCCATTTATATTATGTACTTCTTCTTCAATTCAGATGGACGCACTTGTCGTTCAAGTGTCATGAGTTCTTCCGTCTATGGCTCTGTTCTCATAATTGTATCGTGCTCATAGTATCGAAATACTTTTCTTGTAATTCTCGTCAAACTGTTACATAGTCATATACTGCTGTTCATTTCATATTTTTAGAAGAACTGCTATCCACTGAGCTATACCCTTATACATTAGACTATCATTCTTCCATACTAGTTCGATATGAAATCCTTTTTATTCATTTCCTTATTGATACTTGCCGTAAGTGCAAGATTTTTCGATGCTTGTCCCGGACGACGAATATCGATAGGAGGTTTGTAAACGTATTTGAAATAGCATTCTAATGAATCAGCTTAGCTTGCTTAGCAGGATTATGTCCAGCTGGCTCAGAATGTGTTAATGGCTACTGCTGTAAGTGGGAAGCAATGCAAACTGAATTACGTTTCATATATTCAGGCAAACTCAAGAATAATCCCGAGACGACTACACCCCCAGCTGAAAACTCATCCGAAGTTGAAAATTATGAAAAGTATTTCCTTTAGCAAAGATTTTTTCGAAACTTAATCATGATAGGTGCAAAAATGGGAAGCATGCCATAGGCGAATGTATATCTGATAACTGTCCCAGTGGCTACAAGTGTGAAGATGGTCTGTGTTGCAGTAAGTGAGACAAACAAAACGAAAAATAATTTCGGTGTTGAATAGAAGTGGGCTTGCCCCCTGTCCGAGTAACTATGATCCCTGTAGAACTTGCTACGACCCGATCTATCACAGGTAAATTGACTAATCACTATTTCTCATTCATTTTCTCAAGAAAGCGTAAATATTTCAACGAAGTCGTCCAAAAAGGGAAAAACCAAAACCAGAGTGATCCCTGAAGGAGAAGAAGAGGAGGGAGAGCAGTCACTAGGTAAAAGAGTTCAGAAGAAGAAAGGATCAGGCGAAGAACTAACGGAAACAGAAAGTGAGAAAACGAAAGAAGAACCCGAGGAGGTATTTGTTTATTTAAACTGACCACACTTAAATGTCTCACAGACTTCAACTAACGAGGAAGATTATGGAAATGAACTCATCGTTGAGGATCGCGAAGAGGTTGAGCAATATACATCAACAACCACAACAACTACTACAACAGTACCAACTACTACCCTACCAGAAACCACGACAAGAAGAAAGAAGGTGTAATTAACCACTGTTATTTTCAACAGTAAGTGTTTGTAGGCCAAAAAATCCAAAGTTAAAACAACAACGACTACCTCAACTACACCTCAGCCAGTGGAAGAGGAGGAAGAAGAACAAGAAGAAGTAGAAGCAATTACAGAAGAGATGGAGTTCACTACAAGCACAAGCACCAAGTCTCCAAGCACGACAGAAGCTCCAGCGAAGACAACAAAGGCGACTCCTGAAGAAGAGAACATTTCCTTAACCGGATGTCCTGTGGGAGAATCTATAGGAGGTTCATCTATTTTCTGCAATTTTCCTAGGAAATTAATTATTTTGTTAAAGAATGTATTAGCAATGAATGTCCCGAGGGTCATGGATGTTTCCAAAACAAGTGTTGTATCATGACACCTCAAATCAATTGCACAGACGCCTTAAGTGGGTGCTTGGATCATTTATGTCAGCAACGTGGTTACAAAGTCTAACGCAACCAATCGAGCTCAACTCTAATTCATCAATATTTCAGGAGTTCATGACGAAGAAATGCGCACGAACATGTGCTCGTTGCCATCTGACAGACTTAGTAAGCTTCCTCTTCTTATCCAAATACTTCAGTTGTTCAGGATACTGCGGAAATTCGAGAATGTCGTGACCGTCGTACCGATTGCGGCGAATGGGCACAAGAAGGATTCTGCGAAAGCACCTTGTACACAACAAGGCAGAAATTGAAAATGTGTGGCAAAAGTTGTAAATTGTGTTGAACTTTCGAGTCAACGTTTGAGCAAAGCATATATGGTCTCTTCTTAGCGAATAATTAATTTATTAAAAATGAATCTAATGAAATATGGAAACGACGTGTTAATAGATGGCTCAATAAAAATTAAAAACAAATCAAAACAATCAGGAAATCAATGATAAGACAATGCTAAGAATCAATAAAGAAAAAAGTCAATAATGGCAAATCAATAGTTTACAACTATCCCCCCCCCTTCCCTATTCACGTGGCCGCGAAATCATTTTTTGAATTTCACGCTTAGCGAACGGTTGTGTTCTCTTGTCCGGGATGCATTCGTTCAGCACGGTTGGTCGCATTAATTTTTTTATTTAAATAGATGAAGAAGCGTTTTTTTTTGTTTTCACATTCCTTTCGAAATATTCAGCTCAATGTTGTGCGGCACAACAATTAAAGTAAATGCTCTCTGGTCGGAATTTTTTTTGTCTTTTCCAATACACAAAACAATATTGACATTCAACAGATGCTGACATCAGTCTGTATGGTAGAGATGGAAACTGTAATAACTCCATATTAGAGGAAAAGCTTATTTATCTCATGTCAAGTCAATATCTCCTATTCTATCTTTGAAAAAATGTTGAACGAACCTCTATAGTTTCATTTGTTGTCAGCCATTTTGTTGTTTTGATATCTGGAACGTGTTATTCAGTGTTTGCTAGCCAGTCATACTAACCTTTCAAATGCCCGAACGGATCCTTATAGGAAGCTGTCTCAGGGTTCCATGCGTACCTATTCACTACAAATATAGGCTCTTTCAGTTCTAATATTGTGTTATTCTTTGGTCCATATGGATATCCACCACCAATTCGTTTGATTTTTCGAATTTGAAGGATTTTAACTTCAAATTTGGGCATCACGTAACTCTCATAAACTAATATCTTGTGGATGTTCTTTCGTAAGGCATGTGATGTGCGTCTTGGCGGTATCTTGCTTGGCACTGAACATGTTTCAGAACTAGACATCATTACTCTTTTTCGAAACTACCTGAAGGTGGACGAGTATTCCTGAAAACGACAGCCTTAGATATATTGATGTGAGTGGAGCCGTTCAGCCTAATTCCAAAAACGTTCGGCTGAGTTCTAGCATCGAATACTCTTAGTTGTTTGTAATCTGCGAGTAATTTCTTGTTTGGAAGCCGTTTGAAAACCTTACCCCGTTCTAATGTGGAAAAAGACGTTGCGTCACAAAGATAAATGCCGATTATGGCAAAAGTTGCGGACAGCATGATATGCAATGATCTATAAGTTATGAGAGATAAACTGAAATGAAGAGAGGAACAAAAAATATGTGTTGAGAGAGAAAAAATCGAAAGGATATGAAAGATCTGAAAAGGAAAGGAAATGCAGATGGGGAAGAAACGATGTCGGTCACTTGTAAGACAACCGGTAAATGCGTCCGCATACGACATGATAATTACCTGAATGTGGACAGCATGTTTAAAGTAAGGTACAGTCACGTAACATGAAATTTGCAAAAAGGATTTATTTTATAATTGAATGAGAAAATCTCGCCAAAATCTTATTATGTATTCTCACAACAATAAATTAGTACTTTTGTTGTAAATGCCGCAACTGCCGATGAAGTCCTCTTTTGGGTTCTAAATACGAACGCAGATTTGATTGTGCTCGCCTTTTTGATGTTTTTAATGTTATTTCCTAGTTTCTAGGATTCGCAACATTTACTAGTTCGGAACCATAGAAGGAACCGAATAGTAGTCCGATGTTCAAACGGCAGACAAACAAATCTGCCAGGACTTTACAGAGAATAGCGGTCATTTTTACTTGTTTGTTGTTCACAACTTTTTCTCTGTCTTTCTCCCTCCCTCTCTCTCTCTCTCTCTTTTTGGTTGTCTCTGCTAATATCTCTCTCTCTCTAGGTTTGTCCCCTTTTGAACTTTTTCGAATTCTTCTATATATGTCTGGTGTGTTGATGGAAATTATTAAAACGTTGCTTACTCATTCACGTATAAGCTTATCCCGCTGCTGACCCAATTACATTTGTCTCCAATTTTGTATTCTCCTCATATTAAAGCTTCTCAGCTGTTAAAGGTCTCCTATTTCTCTCCAGAATTTCAGCGTTTCACTATAATTTCCGCATATTAGCGTATTTCATAGAACACGATGATGACTATTCTGTCGTTCGTTTATATTGTCGACCACATTTATATATCCTTCTGCTGGCCATCTCCTCTACCCTTAAACCGATTTCCGATATTGAGAGAAATGAAGTTGAGCACTTATTCATTCGTTTTTTATGCCATATTTAGAGCTCGCTTCCGTCAGCTATTCCCCACCATGCTGGTTAACGGGTTAGCAGAGCTCTTACGACAAAGAGTATCCTCGGTAACCACTAATCTTTCCTGCTTACCAGCTCTGTTCAACCTCCATTTATGATCGGACCGATGCTACATCCCATCTGTGGATCACCCCCACTCTCATTTCTTAAAGAGTAACAGAACTCTTTTTTCTCGAATGTCACTGTTCTTTTTTTCATATTTCCAATCCTCCTTGTATTTGTATGTTATTACTTTGTCTCTCTTGTCTTTCCGATCTTGTGCCAGGCGTCCCTGTCTTATATGCCTTCTGTCTTTTTCCTCTGCGTATGTTCTCTCATTATTTTTCTCACTCTCTCAATCTTGAGATCTTATTGTTTCCCACTGTCCTCATCATCTCTCTCGATCTCTTTTTCTCATCACACTCACCTCTCTCCCTCTTACTCTCTTTCTGCTCCCCCCCCCCGAAAGGTCACTAAAGGCTACACACAGCCAGCCATCATCAGACAACCCGTCTCTCTCCACAGCCCAAGCCCGGCTACGAACGGCGGCACAGAAATCGATTTTCCTCCATCGATTCTTGGCAGTAGCCAGAAACCAGCCGCAAGCTGCCCGTTGTCCAGTCTCGCGACTTTCTAGCGCTATCTCTCATTCAAAAACCTTCTATCCCCAACTCTCCTCACTTGTTTATTGCTTTCTCTTCTTCTAGTTTTTCTTCTACGTACATCGTGCTGTGCTGTGGCTGCCTCTTTTCCCTTAGGGCTTCTGCTCATTCTTTCCTTTGGCTTCCAAATCAGACAATCACCATGTACTGACCAACTACGTAACGTAGTTGTCGCGACATCGCGTGCGGACTCTATACTCCAGTTCGATTCGCCTCTTTTCTATTACTTGTTCAACAAGACCAACAACTGAAAATGTGTCCTATAGAGAGAGAAAGAGAGAGAGAGAGAAATTCACGAGAGAACGAAAAGAACGCTGGTAGTGTTTTACTCAAACAGAGCGTACAGACGAACAGTAAGCTATGTTCTGTCCAGCTGCTGACAACGTAGACTATTGAAGTCAATCGCAACATACAAACGATTTCTTTTAACCCAAACAGTACCTCGTAAACTTAACATTAGGTTGTTTGTGAACGTTTGTTAATATGATTTATCTTATCTGTTCACCGAAACTCGAGTTCTTTACTAAATGCTTCAGCCAGACGTTATCTTTACGTTAGACTTCATAACTACCACCGCTCCGTGCTCTTATTTTCCAGAAATGATTTCTCGTGGCTCTCCACAAGAAATCATTTCCTCGAGTTCATTCTCACCTGACTTACCGGCTGGAACGGTTGTTCTCTTCTTCCTTCATCTGTTACCGCTCGCATTGTTTCTCTCTCTTCTTCATTACGTTAAATTTTTTCTACCAGCTCGATATTCTCACTCTTTACCCTAAAATGTTTTTTGATTTCTCTCTTTCTGTCCGATAAATAGCAGTTTGAACGCTACCTCACTATCGACCGCATATCGATTTTCGTGAAAGTTATCCGCTCAACTGCCAAATACTGCGCCCCGGTCCTCCCGCCTTATTTGTACCTGCTTTGTTTTCCATCTGATTATGTTTTTCAGGTTATACAAGAGGAAGACTAATTATACTTTGTCCAATTTGATTTTCGTCTTCTAAGGTCGAGACTTATAATTTCCTTCCTGAGCATTATATATTACACCATTCGCATTCACGCACATTTTTAATGTCGGGATTGGCTCATGATTCTCTTTACGTTTTTTTTCGTTTTATCTTTCATCTCATCATATTCTGACACTCTAATATTCAAAATATTTTTATTTCTTAAATTTACAGGGAGTTTGGGGTAATTTTTCTCCAGCCGAACTATACCTATCCCCATTTACTATTGTTCTTGCTGTATTTAGGACTAACGCAATTTTATAAAGTTTCTCTTGGGTAAGCTCTTATACCCAACGGCTTCATTCAATCAAATATACTTTTCAGTTTATTAATAGTAACGTCTTCGGACGAATTTGTGGATCTTGAGAAGAATATCGAAAAACCTGCAACAATACCGCCCATAATTGATTGTCCGTTATCCTTTAACCTTTTTTGTTTTTTTGTTTGTGATTCTAAGGTAAGCACATAGCCATATTCAATCTCGAAACATTTCCATTTCACAGGTCGTATGTCGTCATTGCAACGAGGCGCTACGGGCGCCAGTAAACCGAAGCCAGTAAACGTAAATTCGCTATATTCAGGACGTAATCTTGCTGCGGGCGCCAAGCCAGTTGGTAAGTCTAACGCCGATTTTTTTCCGTCATGTATCATTGTTTTAGGCAAGCATGGCTTGCAATCTGTGGGGAAAACTGTTGGTGTCGTGCGACGCATGCCACCACCAGCAACTCTTCCCTCACTCAAGGCGGAGAATAATGGTCAAGACCCTACCATAAACATTGTTCCTCAAAGTGGTATGTCCTATCTATTCATGCTTGCGTTTCAACAACAGTTTCAGGTGGAACAGGATGGAATAAAAGTGAAGCTGCGGCTGAGCCAGTGAAACCTATCTCAGCCCCACCTTCCAATGGACCTGATTTGAGACCCACATGGGCTAAAGTTAGTCTTGATGTTTTTTTTGTGTTCTTATATTTCTAATGCAGCCTCAGAATCAAGAAGGAGCTACTACTCCTGCTGCTACAGCTGCTCCTTCAAACAGGGAGTTTCCCACCCTAGCAGTGTCAGCTCAAGGCAAAGATGCCAAGCAGCAAAGTACTTGAAGAACTATTCTATTGAATATTTCAACTATAAATGTTTAGATGCATGGAACTCTGGATGTGCAGCTTCTCACTCCGCCCGAACTAACTCTACCTCCTCTAATTCTGCTGAAGACGACCGAAGAGTAAGAGATATGACTAATACCATGTACAATTTTATTTTAGTTACCTTCTCGCTACTATGATAATCCTAAGCAAAATGCATCTTACCGGACTAAATTCCGTAAGTCTTTCTCATGTAGTTTGCATTTAATCAATTTTTCTTGAAGAAGGAAGTAATGATGCTCGAGCAACCCAGCCCAATTACTATAATCAAAGAGTTAGCGAGAGTCGTGATGGAGATCGTGAGCGATGTGAGTTATTCTTCTCTTTGTTTCTCTTACTCCTTATTCTTAGTCGATTCATACTCTGAGTCAGTTCTTTCTAATCGTTCTGATGAAAAACCTCCAGTCGAAGACAGAAGACCTTCCGAGTGTTTCTTTGACGGTGAAACTCGTGAAGAGGCTCCCAGCCAAGTCGTTGCTCCTCAAGTTGAGGAAGACAATTTCGCTCATGAAGTTGAACGTGATGCTGCTATTGAGAGAAGTCGACAGAAACGTATGAACGTTAAGGTATATTTATATTCTCATTTTATGACTCATGAAAATATTGTTGTAGCCCGGATCTCAGCCTGAATATCGTCTCTTGAAACGACCAGAGCCTTCTGAGTCTGCCCAAGTCGAAGAGAACAGTGACGATGAAGAAGGTTGTTTCATTTTTGAATTCTGTGTTAAGCATGTTTTTCATTCCAGAAGTTCAAATGACTAAACTGAACAAGCCTGCTGTGCGGGTAGTCAAGAGAGGTAATGCAGAATTCGAAGAGAATGAATTGGGCGAAAAGATAGAATCAATGACTATCCAGGTTTGTAACTTTTATTCTTTATTACCCTATATTCGATTCTTTACAGTCTTCATACTGCGAACAACCTGCTCCCCGAGTTTCAGAAATGAAAAAGAAGAATGATGTTGCGAAATCTTCTCATTCCCATCACGAGACATCTTCCCAATCTAAAACTAACCAGGATTCTTCTAGAAATCAAGGCTCAGCTCACAGAGAGAGAATGGACTATAGGGTTAGTTGGCATTCTGAATATCTTTCTATAACAAGCAGTTTAAGCAATCAAAAAGTGAACAGTATCAAAACTCGGCTATCAGTTCTAACTCAACTCATCCTTCAAATAATTCCTCACAAACTCCTGCTCCTGCAGCTCCTACGGAGAACATTTGGGCCAAACGAATTGAAGAGCGTGAATCTCAAGAAAGAGAGAAGGTATGATTTGCTCCCGAATGCTTTTTGAAATTCAAAATAATTTCAGCGTAACTCTGCCAAGTCTTTACCGCAGGCCATTATTGAACAGCATTTCCCTGCTGTCAATGAATCTCTTTCTATGAAAGTTGATAAGGTTTTATTTTACACACAATATTTTTATAATCTGTTTCTTTTGTTGAAGGATATGGCTCGTCGCCCAGCAGATGTTGAGTTTGCTAGAGCTACTCTGAGAGCTCGTAGGAACGCGGCAAGCAATGATGTTCGCAAAACAATGAGTAGAGATGATGAGAGGTGAGATTCTTTCTTTTTTCTCAAATTAATTCTTTCTTTCAGACGTACTTATCAACGCGAACGTCATTCTGAGCAAAATCGTACTAGAGAAGTACAAGATAGAGGCGATGAAGATGTATATGCAGCCAAAGAGGATAATCGATACTGGCACGATAATAATGATTACTCTGAGAATCGCGTGGGTTACCGTGAGTTCTCACACTCTTCTAGAGGTTTGTCGTTGTACTTTTTTGAACTTTTTATTAATATGATAACTTCAGGTCGACGAGGAGGTATATCTCGAGGAAGAGGAATAAGAGGAGCTGTTCGAGGCGGAAGAGGACGCATTGGTTACACTCAGTACCAAATACAAAAAAGGCCAACTTCTGCGATGAAGTCGCATAATGATGAAGAGCCTCAACCGGAAGAAAATGATAACAATGCTAATAGAACTGAATTAACGAAAACCGCCGACGAAAATGTACAGGAAAAGGTTTGGATAATCCAACAAGCGTTTCATGTATCAAAGTTGCAGGAGGAAATCGCTGTAAATCGTCAGAAGGGTGAAAGGCTCGTAAGCCCCCGAGGAAAATTCTCCAGAGGTGGACGAGGACGTGGCCGTGGCCGGGGAGCTCATTATCGTGATGAGGTAAGGATCGTAATTCTTTTCTGCTGTATGCTTGTTGTTTAGGGACGTCTTCCAAGAGAGGAAGAGAGTGAAGAAGTAGATTCTCAAGTTTACGTTAACAGTCGTAGGGGACGTGGAAGCCATCCACGGCCTCGGCGAAACAATGTTCGAGAGGATGTCAAGGTAATTTTTAATTTCTTTTACTGTTGTGTTTGAAACGACTGAATATTTTTGAATTCTCCCATGATCTAAATTTATGCCGATTTTACGTAAATTTTACGTGAAGGTACCAATCGTGCATCATTTTAGTTTTGTACACGTGATGAGTGGTTGTGTTTTTATTTTCATTGATACTTTCATTGTGTCCCGTTTCAGATCAAAGGAAATACTCAGAGACGAGGATCCGATCTTTCTTCGAGTGCTCATGACAACAAAATAGACAGGCTTAAAAGCCCAGTTGCCTCTAGTGAAGGTCACGATGAATGGGAAACTGCTAGTGAGAGTAGTGGACGTGTTCATAATAGAGAGTAAGTTTTCTAGTTTTCGAACTATTGAGAGAATTTCTTGCAGAAGAACACCTTCAAAGAGACCTCAACCTCAGCGCAAGCTCCAAAACTCTACAGAAAACACTGAAACTAAAGGGAGAATTTCTGCAGAGCGTATTCGCTCAAAAAACGGCCAACCCGCCAGACGTACGTGCCACTCGCCCTCCGACGCCAGCAACAGAAGACAGTCGAAGGAAAAACATCAGCAGAAGCACCAAAATGAAGAGAAGGTAATATTCACCTAATTTGCTTTAATAGTGCTTATGCATGTAGGCCGGTGCTTCCGACGGTCTGGCGGGGTTAGATATCAATAATGTTGCTGGTGTTGTTGTGATAGATTCTCATCAGCAGGACATTTCTGCTGACGCCCTGGATGGATTCGAAGAGGTATTGTTTTTTTTATAGATGTTCGTATTTGTTCGTGTGTTCAGGTGTTAAATAAGAGAGCCAAAAAGAAAAAATTACAGCAGATGATGGAGGCCGAAGAGCGCAAGAGACTTCAGAAAGAACGACAGCTTCGATTACAGAACCAAAGAGCCAGTAGACTAGCAGCCAAAAAAGGTAATTTCAATGGAATTATCGTTCATTGAAAATTTGGCTCTCAGATAAGAAGAAGGTTGACCAAGAAGCTGCAACCAGCAACAAGGAAAACAAAAGAGATGGGCAATCAGACGGAAAAGTTGAGAAGAAAATATCAGTAACTACTGTCTGGAATAGTTCTCACTTCCCCAATGAGTTGAATACCGAGGCGAAAATGTCGAAGGAAGTCAAAGAGATCAAAGAAGTGAAAGCTGTGAAGGATTTGAAAGAGTTCGGCTCTAGTCAGGTACTAATAGCGTTTTCGTTCAAATATCTAATTATGTCTCGCTCAGGGAATTGTTATACCTTCTCCCATTGCTCGTCCTACTCCCAGATCCAAATCGTCAGCTTCAGATACTCCCACAGCAAATCAGGAAGAGCCTCAAAAGTATCTTATCATCAACATGATACTTCTTTCAACTCTTATTTTTAGAATGGTTGAATTGACAGGAGCTCTATCCGCAAGCCAACCTTTGCAAGGTGATGATAAGTATGACTTCACATTTGATCCTAATATCCACGAGGTACAGTGTAAAAACCTGATCAATGATAGCGAACACATGATTTCAGCAAGCGTTAGCCAAAGAAACACAAGAGAAGAATAGCGTCACTGCATCCACTGGTGCCAATTCGGAGACAGGAAGTGTCGCTGATGACTACAGATTGAAAGAGAAGCTGAACCGTGTAAAGGTATTCGTATTCATTGTTAACTAGTAAACATCATAAACATTCCAGGAGTTATGGCCCTCTGAGACTGAGAAGCAGTCTACGCAGGCACTCCCATCTAATGTTGCGAAAGTTAAACCGCAGCCTCAAGTTGGAGAACCTCCCAGTGCTGATATTGTGAAACCAGAAAGTAATTGTGTTAGTAGTTGCCAAGTGAATTCCCAGAGAAGTCCTGGACTAGGTGTGTTCATTTTGCCCACGGAATTATAACAATTATTTTCAGCATCTTTCTCTTCTGGATTAGGAGGATTAAGCTTTGGCTATCCCATGGTGTTACCTGAAATGAGCTATTCTCAGCCACTTCATGTTGGTTCCTTGCTGCAACCTCCCAATGCAATTAGTCCTCCTTCGGTTTGAATTTTTTCTAGTTATTCTCATATATGGTTCGATTCAGACACTGCCAACACCAGGATCTTACACTCAAAACCAAAGACCACAGAGCCGTGCTCCAATGGGTGAAAACCAAATTTACATCAGTAACAGTTCGTTCATCAGAATTGCTGGGAATATTTTCAATTTGTTAAGGAGGAATGAATCAAAACATGCAGAGTTGGCCAACACCAAACAGCTCTTTCGACACTGTTATGAGCTATGGTGCTACTCAACCTCAACAAATGCAGCCAACACAGCAATCTCAGTTCCCCTTTGCAAGTAGTGGACGAATGGGTCATCAACCTCCTCCACAGGTTATTTTTTTTCGAATTCGTAAATACTGAAGTTTTCTCTATAGATGCAACAGCAAAGACCTCCCGGTTATCCTAATGTATCTCATCCACCCCCTCAGTCAAAACTAAACGGAGGTCCACCATTATTACCGTTCCACCCTCTTCCTATGGATATGATGAGTATGAACATTCCACCTCCTCCACCAAATGCTCATAATATGAACGGCCCACAATTAGGTATGCTTCAGAAAAACGAGATATACGTATTTGAAAAACTTTAGGTCATCGTAACGACAGAGGTCAGTTCGGATCTATGATGACTAGTTCATTCCAAGCTCCTCCACCTCATCCACAACATCCTCCTCCAAATGTGCATCAGCCTCCGATGCAATTCACTCAACCACCTCCCACACTTAATCCTAATATGAGGTTTGTTTTGATATTTGTGTAACATTAAAACTGAACTTCATTAAGGTTTGCTCAGCCACCTCCCGCTCATGGAGCTGATCTCGCATGGAGTAAGCAGGGTAATCACCAACCTCAAACTGGTCAGATGTTTGGACAGCCTGATGTGTATAGAGGTAGTCGATTCATTAGGAATGAATTATATTTTTTTATAATGTAGGACAACCCCCAATGGGCATGAATAGAGTAGTGATTCCGAATGCTGCTGAAAACTGGTCGAATATGCACGTGCCAAATTTCAATTCAATGAACCATAATCAGCCTATTCATAGGCCTAGGATGGGAATGGTAAAAATTTTCTACGAATATCATGTTTAACTCAGTATTCACAGACTGGGAAAAACAGAGCTCATGATGGTTCCGGCTTTAAGCGCGGTATGCCAGGTCACCAGCATCAAGCCAATCATGCAACACCGTCTTAACAAAATGGCTGAATTAACTCTCTCGTCTCTTCTAAAGTCTTTGACTGAACGGCTTTGCCATATTGGTAGTCTACATCATTACCTTTTTCGGTGAAAATCTCATTAATCACAGTACCTTGTATAGTATTGCCAGTTTCAATTTTATTTACATTCATTTTTCAATTCACCCTTCATTTGTATTTAAGTTTTTTTTTTCTCGTGTATGTTTCATATTGTAATCTATGTGGTTTCTGAATTTTCGTCTTATGTTTTGGCCGTGATGTCTTTTGTGGTGTTTTTGTTTATTTATTATTATGAGTATGCTTAAGGAAACAGGAATAATATGTATTAGCAGCTCATGTGTTTATCAGTGATTGTCCCATCTTATGTAGATTGCATGTTAATCCATTTGTCTAATCTTAACTGATCTTCATATTTGTTACCTTTAATAAATGTGTTGTTCTTTTTCGTTTTTTATTTCTACCATTGCGAGAATCTTTGTTTACTTTCCATCCATAGCGTCACATGGGGCGTGAGAGGTTTAAATCTATTCTTCTTACTGATTAAAGTCGTATCGACTATCTTTCTTGGTTTTTTGTCTGAAAATGTCTTCAAATACATTCTAAACTACTCAAACATGACTTCGCCATAAATGCAAAACAAACTCCACTTACTATTCGTATGCTTTTGGTAGTTTTCTACGCATTTTGCTTTTTCATCCAACGACCCATACGCACTTTACGCTGTTTTTCTCTCCGCTCTCTCACGCGAGAGTGCTGACCGCGCGCACTATCACCGAGGCCGCATAGGAATAGCAGAATAAAACAGCGACTACCACTGGGCGTCGTGGCGGGCGTCTGTGAGCCAGCTTCTAGGCAGTAGATAGTTGTGGATTAAGTGAGGTCAGGAGTCCTGGTTGTGCTGTGTGATACGGCGACCGGGCGTCCGAGCCAAGCGATACGTCACTAGGGTCTAACTCTCGAAGGAAGGTTAGACCCGGGTGGACAAGGAGAGGTGCATGGCCGAGGCCCGAAAGGGAGCAAGCAGAAGCCTCCGCGCATTGCAGTGGCCGGATAGCGCCCGCGAGTATCTCCTCGCAGTCAGCCTGTCCAATACCTTGAGACCAACTGTCGAAATTTTTGTTTTATTGCCATATGAAGTAAATAACTTTTAATATTTTCATGTAGCTAACATGAGTAGAAGCTTCTAATTTGAATACGTTGTCTACGAATCGGATAAGTAACTGGTTTCTTCTTCATAAACGGGGTTGGTTTGAGTATAGAATCCTGTTTCGTGAGTTGAAGAGAGAAATTTAACCTTTATAAGACTTGTTTTGATTGATCGCTTGTATGCTAGCTTGCCCAGACAGTTTCCTCAAACCTCGTATGTCAATTACAGAATCAGATAAAGTTTTCTTTTTCATTTCGTAGGAAACATCATGCCAATGTTATGTTTGTTTCATTTCTCCTTTGATTAGTTTTTTATGAAGTTCATAGATTGCATAGATCTTCTATGACATCATCAAAGACGTCACTTATGCCCTAAAAATAAAAAATATCTTTCGGTAAGGTTTTGTAGATGTAATTGCACCAAAAGATATTTTCTGTTCTGTTACATGCCATTGGCCGTTTCATACACGTTTCAGTCAGCAGTCCTCTGTAACACTGTCAAGTTTCTGTGAACTTATAAAGAACTAATGGTTTTTTTTGTATCAGAAACCTCATCTGTTCAGGAAAATTGAGAGAAAACAGAGTCCTCATGTCAATCCAAGCAGGTTTTCACTTTCTGCTTGACGATTTTCTTGGCAAGTTCAGAAATTTGTTTGTAATTATCGATTTCTACTCTTGACACATTGGAGACTTTTAGTTTTTGCGGGAATAAGAGAAGCTTCTCTCTACTTCTTTCGTACTTCCCTTTCATTTCCTTTCACAGCAACTACCTTTTCAAATTCATGGAAGAATGTTAATCACGATACTCTGTTGATGACTCGTTCATCTCGAAAACTTCAAAAGGTTTACTTTCTGTTCATCTTCGTTCTTTCAAGTTGTAGTCGAGTTGCCGAACTATTGATCGTTTTACTTTTCCCTCTGTCGCACCATTCTATTCTTTCTTATTTTTCTAATAATTTCTTATTATTATGACAATTTTTTTGCAATCACTGTACCTTTTCTGATCAAACATTCGTTCCTAATGTGCAAAGAGATCTCTCGAAAGACATTTGTTCAGCTTTTCCAAACATTTTTGTTTTTAATTTTCAACACAAAACTTGAAAATTACCACATGAGATTATCCCCTCCTTGCTTACAGTTAGGAATGAATGAACTGCCGGATGACGTTTGGTTTCAAATCTTCAGCTTGTGTGACTTTCCAACGTTAGTTAGATTACGACAAGTATGTTCATCTCATCATTCATCGTTATTTATGTTTTCCTTTTAAGGTGAATAGAAGGTTCTATGACATTACGAATTATTTATTATATTTCAAGAGGAAACTTGTCATAGACTACTCCGGTGAAATCAACAGAAAGACGGAAAAGATCAGAGTGAACGATGCCGATATTCTCCTCCAATTCCTCAGTAAATTCACCAATAATCTCACAGAAATAACAATAGGAATGATTCCCATCCGTATCACCATGGCAAGCCTAATCCAAGTGAGATCTTTACCTTTGTTCTTTGATATATCGTTGCCTTCAGTTAGCGAGCGCCCATCCAAAATTAGAAACTTTGAAGTTTGAACAAGTGAAAGAGCTGCCGATCATTGAGAAAGACTCTCTCTATGCATTACCGTATTTCAAGAAGTTAAAGCATCTCAAATTGAAAGGATGGCATACGGTTGACCCTAAAGTTAGACGAGGTTAGCATTTGCATCATTGAAGATCTTGCATCTTTGAGTTTTGGGGTGTGCACATCGAACTGACATGCTTCCTTTCCGTGGATTAATTCCCTTGCAAACTCTGATAATCGAATGCCAGAAAGACACGGTTGCCAATGTTCTACAAGAAATGCGAAGAAATCTTGTTTTTCTCTCCAATCTCAAACATATCGAGGTTTCCTTCATTCCTTGAACAAGATTTCTAATGAAAACTTCTTGCAGTTGCTCACTCATCTCTCTCATGTAGATTTACCAGGCTTATTGGCTTGGTTCTTGCAATCACACTGTATGCTAGAAAAAATTTATATTTCCGGGTTCCTCTTTGCATCTGAAGCTCAAGTCCAACGACTGTATAGGTGAGATTCGAACCAGCTTGCATTAAAAGCTATTGGCATTCAGAAGTATTCTTTCATTGCCACAACTACAAGTTGTATATCTGAACAATTGCAAAGCAATTGCTGCCCTGGATAAATCCATAGGATATCAATATTTGTAAGCTCCAGAAGACTGTTCATCAGTATGCTTCGAATGTTTCAGATCAGAAGCTTTCAAATTGCGGATCGGAGCAGAAGGAACTGTAACCAGTTTACGTTTCGTGCCGGAAGAAAGCCCATAACCATATATGCTCATCAGAAAACGTGTTTCAACATATCTTGACAGCTTTCATATACTACTCATTTGCTCAATATGATAATCTTACTAATATAAGTAACCAAGAGACAACTCATCAGATTCTAATAAACGTTCTCAAACAAACTTCAATCTCTAACTACACGTCATATATAGCTAATACTCTGTCAGATGCTACATCACTTTCACGTGGGCAGCAGAAAGCTTAACGAATCATGAGTGGCTTTATGTGAACGACCGCTAATTGTGTGAGAGTTGAAAAATGGTTTCACGTGTCCTGTTAGTCTACGTGTAGAGTGTAGATGGTACATCACCGACCGCTAACTAAATAATTTTGTGAAGAATGATTTAAGCTAACAATCGGGAATTAGTAGCTAGCTTCAGGAATGATTCTTGGTATGACCAGCCAGTCACGTGAAGTGAGTTTCAGGAATGACTACATCTGGCTGTGTCACCTACGTAATAGAATGGCTTGGAACACTATTTGTATCCTCGAGTACAATGCACATTTGGATGGTTACGTATGGCTGAATGAGAAATGATCAATAAAGGAATAGAACTGTGTTCTGAAATTAGTCTTTCTCATTTCGAATACTTATTATTCATGGCTTTATGATGAATGAACTTCTTAAGGATTATACACAAGTACTTTGGACAAGCCAATGTCGAAGTTTCAGAAAAAGGAATAAACAAGTGTTCTCTAATGAACTATGGTATATATGATTATCATTCATTACATACTTCACATCGAAACATCAAATCGTTCGCATGTTAATGATGTTTTTGCTTTTCTCGACTTCCGATCACATATTATTCAATTTCATAAGTATTGAAGAATGTGTGTGTATGTGTGTTGAGGCCTTCTGATTCAATGGAACTTTCAATGAGCAATGCGGAAGTTTTCATTCAGCTGAGGAAAATATAATATTTAATAAATGTTTGAATAATCCTATACATTAAGATTTTATACACGTATGAACAGATGACAAGATATATAAACTCTGATATGCCCTGAATGCTAAATGAGATACAATTAATTGACCAATTTTATATCATTTATAACATTAGGAAGAATCAGATGTTATTCGGAAGAAGACAAAATTGGATTGTGGTTTATGAACTTTCAACAACAAGATGAGTAGATGGAGAGGAGAGGGTTGGGGGGGGGGGGACAAATCAACAAATCAACTGTACATATGAGGAGGATACTTAAGGATTCGGAAATAATTAGAGATCCGAATCGAGGGAATCATCATTAACACAATGATTCTAGATTAATAGCCCGTAAGACATAAGGAACAATAAGAAGATTAACTATTTCCTTCTAATTAGCATATTACATACATAGTTAACATATTTTTTTGTTGAATTGAAATCCGAAACTTCAGTTCTCAAATCTCTTTTTGTGTTACTTGTGGTATGTCCTGAGAAGAAATGAAAACGATGAGGAAAGTTCTGGATATGGATCTACTCGTTCAAACTACAGGGAGAGGGGAGGTGATAGGCATATACACGATGAATGTTTCTACGCAGTGTTTCTTCCGAGCATTCATACAATAACATTTAAGCAACTGATGCTTTGTGACATAAATCAGAACAGTTTTGTATGTAATCCATTATATCACTACATGATACTACGGCTATAGGCTTCTTCTCAACATCTACAACTACCTATAATGAGAGAGCGATTGGATAGGTTGCTTGGAACAGTCACATACCACTGATTGTCTCTCTTGGCTTACAATCAACGCTATAGTTTCATATATGGTCATGGTTGTTGTCGCTGTTGCCGGATTCAGCTGAATGATCTCCTACAATATAACCATATTTGTAGCGTCTTGAATAATGTTATTGATGAACGCACTGAGAGTGGCATATCCAGAATTTCCAAGTAATTATGAGGATGACGAGGTAATTCAGCCATAATATCATTTTTGGATAATACAGCTGCTAGCTTGCCGTCGGAATCAATGATGGGAATGTTAGAGACATGACTATAAAAGGAAAAATCATCTTACGCCATTTTAAGATTTCAAATATGAAAGTTCAAACCATTCTAAGAATTTATCCACAGCTTCAAGGACGGTGGAAGTAGTCTTGAGCTGAAAATACGATAACGTTTAACAAATACATTTTGTAAGAAGTTGAGTTTGTAATTGTAAGTCACGTGACTTCCGCTACCACGTACGTGTAAATTGGCTGATTGAAAAGAGCGGAAAGTACATTCGGTTGGGAGGGGGTAGAGAGGCGAATGTGTGAGCGGATGAGTGGTTGCATTCGCAATTGTCAGATTCAATATTTCTTTTTGTAATTTAAATTAAATAGAAATATGTATAAATTGAAGCTTTTAAGCTATCAATTTGGCTTGGAACAGAAGAATAATTGAATATTGAAAGATTGAAAAACAATTTTTGTCACAAAAGTGTTCAATGATGCTTGGTGTGAAAGAAGCTTAGAAGATGCTTTACGCAAAATTTGTTCAGTCAGATTGTATTTCGATATTTCTTCCTGTTTTATGTGTTGGCAGAATAAAAGTGTTATTGAAGAGTAGAAAAACATGTTTCAATTGTTCCTCATCAGGAGAGGGACACAGAGAGAGAGAGAGAGAGGAAAGGGAAGAGAGAGAGAAAGAGAGTATGATAGATAGAATGATAGACAGAACCACACACACACATACAGAGAGTTCTCCCTTTCTGAGTGGAAGAAGGAGAAAGAAACAAACTAACATATACAGAAAGAGAGAATGAGAGTAAGAGAGTTAAAGTGATAGAGAGCAAGAGAGGGTGGTGCAAAGAGAAAGAAAAACAAAAGTGCAGAACAGACTCATTCAATACTTAATGGGTAATAGGAAAAAATGTAATGTTTATATTTTTCCAATACGTATTCTCCAAAAATGGGCGATAGACGGAAAGTTTCACAAAATATTTGAAGAACTGGAGAAATCCATTAATTTTTTGAGAAATTTGATTAATTACTTTGTCTTCAACTCTATTACAGAGCTCAAATCTTGGAAAACAACATAGGGTTCCCCCCTCCCCAGGCAGGAAGTGTGCAAAACTGAAAGATGTCTTTCCATTTATTTATGGAGATCGCTTGCTCTCCTTTCTCTCTTCTTCCTTCTCTCCCTCTCTCTCTCTCTCTCCCTTCCTATCCTTCCGACAAGTGCAAACGAACTATTTTGAAAACAATTGCAATAAACTCTGGAAAATTTTTGCTTTTCTCCAAAACGTACCAAAATAATATTTCGCCACGTGCCAACTTTCCGATCGCACAACGTCTTCTGCTTAATATGGGGTCCTAATGACATCTTAGGATCAGACTGTAACAATAGGTTTCTTAGTTGATAGATAGAGAGCGAGAGAGACTATTGACTTACAAGTTTCAGTATTGTTTCCATAAAAACTGATCTCAAGCTCAATGTATAACAAATTTCGCCTTGATAAGAAGGTTTCGAATCAGCATCTTCATGCTGAACTATTATAGGAATGCGATGAACTCGGTTGAGGACAATCAATCTCGCTGCATCCCAAACACTGCAAAATGACATTTTTTGAAAAGCAATCTTGCAAAAGCATCTGAAATACCTTGTGTTCACATCTGTATATACCAAATGTTTCTTATTATTATTCTTAAGAAATTGAGCTACCGTAAGGTCGGCAACTTTCTGAATTCCTTCCGCAGCTAGATAAATGGCTCTTAAGCAATCCGTATTCGTCAGTATTCCCAATCCATCTGATGAGGTTTAATAATTAGTTTTGTTAATTTGGATGATAAACCTCTGCTTTCAGTGTTCATTACAACAGCCGCTTGATGGCCACATTGGCAAAGTGCAGTCAAAGCTTTGTGAATCTGAAGAATTCATGGAATCAATTGAAAAAACGATTTTGTTTTAAAATGAGGGGATGGAAGGAAAGAGTTACCGGCAGGTTTCCGTCAATAATCACTAAAGCTGAATGATTTGGTTGAAGATCATAGCATGTCAATGATTGCATGTAATGACGATACGGATCGGTATGGCGATCTTCAAAATGTTCAAAAAGTTTTTTTGTTTGAAACATTGTCACAAACCAAAAGCGGCAACGATCTCGAAGCGAGCGTCTGCTTCTTTTGAAGCTCTGAGTATTGCATATTCCTTAAATAGAAAATTCTTCTCAAAAAACAAAATTGCAAACACAACGACTGACCGCACTAAGAAATACTTTCTCTGGAACGCTCATCCGTCTCTGGAACATTGGTCGGGGAGATGGTTCATCATCCAAATCAGTTGGTACATCACAGAAATTTGAATCTGTACTGCTTGTTTTTCGTGAATTATCAGACGTTAGAGTGATCGGATAGGCTGAACTCGCTGATGAACTTTGATAATTCGGCTTAAAGCAATACAAGTATAGAGAGAGAGACAGATGAGACAGAGCTTACTCTACTGAGCATTGTATATCGTCTATTTCTGACATATTCTTTGAACCCAATGGAATTTCTTCTAGAGTTAGAAACACTTCCAGCTGCTGATTCGTATCCTCCGTCTACACCATTCGAATAGATATTGGTGCTCATTTCCAACATCACCTTCAAGCAAACTAACGAATTACTCATATTCAAGACGTTTCACAATGATTAGTATGAGGAAGAGGACATTGATTGAATAGCCTCAGGCAGCTTGGAATATTAAAGAAGTGAAAAGCTTCCATTGGTTAACAAATTCAATATAGAAGATAATGAAAGGAATCGAGGAATTATATAAAGAATGAGTAGTAAAAGAATGAAGAGGAGGGCGAGAGAGAGAGAGATAGAGAGGGCGTGAGAGAGAGAGAGAAAAAGAAAAATCAAAAAAGGAAAGTTTGGCATTACAAATGACGTCAGATAACCAAAGAATTTTTGTGTTTTTTTCTCTGATAAGAGGGTTATAACTTGGAGGCAAATGCTTATTGAATGAGGGTTGTTCAAATGAAAATGTCTAATGTGTCTGTCTTTTCATATAAAAAATATGAAAATATTGACAACAAAAGAGTATTTATAAGATTCCTTAAAAGGTCACAAGCTTTTATCTGTGTTGGAGAAGGCGTAGAAGTAGAAGTAATAGTAGGAGGAGAAGAAGAAAGAGATGTTAAATGATAAAAACCAAATGTTTGTAAATCGCCATTGCATTTGCACTCCGCCTTTTTCAATTCTTTTTGTTCACAAAAAAAAAATGTTCAAAAAGAAAACAAAAAGCTTTCGATGAATATCAGATGTAAAACGATATAAAAATAGAAAATTATAATGCGACTGTTTCAAAATAAAATTAAAATTGAAAATTATTTTGAAAGTGGGCGGAGTGTAAGTAAACAACAAGTCGTCTCACGTGAGCGAGCATTATCTCAGTGCCAGCAAGGCTTCCCCTCTTCTTTTCCTTTCTCTCTCTCTCTCTGTTCTGTTCTCCTTCTTTCCTCCTTCTCCTTCCATCTACCTCTTTTTCCTCCTTTTTTTTCATATTAGAAAAATGAAATTGAATAGAACATGTAATGATAGACATATTTAAAGACGAATATAATATAATATATAAGAGAAAATAGAAAAATATATGTAAAAACGAAAAGATTTTAATTTGATAAGGCGAGAAGTGAGACGAAACAACCGCTCAATGCGCTCCAATTGACAAAAATGAATATTTTCACGTGAATGACGTGAGCTCAGTGCAAACATGCAAATTAGAATATAATGGCCTATTGGAGAAGAAGTAGAAGAAGAAGAAGAGAAAAAAAATTTTAAAGAGAAAAAAAAAGAAGGAGAAAAGTACAAATGAGAGTATTTTCACGTATTTTGGGGTGGCAGGGTGGTGTTGGTGGAAGAAAGGGACGGGACACAGGGAGAGACGGGGAAGACATGAAGACATGGTGGTGGTGGTGGATTTTTAACATTTCTTGTTTGTTCAGACAACATTATGTATTTCAATGATCATTTTGAGTTAGAAAAAAAGAACTTTTTCTTATTTGATTTCTATAAGAAATGTAAGACGAATTATAAATTGAATTCTTTTTACTTCATGGTTTTTCACTCCATCATCAGTGAGAAGACAGAGAGAGAGAAAGAGAGTGATAGATAAAGAGAGAGATGGAGAGAGAGAGAGGAGTTCGGCGATTAAAAATCTAAAGATAGAAGTCATATAGAAAGGACAAGTACAAGATTCGCTCTTTCCCTCTTTTATGCCTTTTATTCCTCTCTCTCTCTCTCTCTCTCTCTCTCTCTCTCTTTCCCTCCTTGCTCTTCCAATCTCTCTCTCTCAATGTTCACATGCAGCTCCCTATATGATAAAATATGGAAAGACACATAGTTAAATCTTTCAACAGAAAAAAAAGGAGAGTAGAAGCAATTCGTGATTTACTTCACACAAGCTGAACATTTGAAGTGAGCGTCGAAGAACATTTTGAAGATTATACTGCCAGGGGCAATTGAATTGGGAACGCTGCATGTTGGGAGGGGAGGGAAGGGAGGGAGGGAGGGCCAAGAGAGAGAGAGAGAAGGAGGTTTCAACGCTTTTCGCTATATAACATGACAAAAGAATGAAAATCATCAAAACAGCCTTGATAAATAAGGATGAATGAACGAAAAGCTATCTCGACGACGACGACGAATAAACAAGATGTTTCTGTTAAAAGAAACAAAAACATAAAGACAACATATGTTAGCAATGGAATAGTTTTCTCATTTCTTCTCTGCACAACTCCTTTCCTCTCTCTCTCTCTTTCATTCCCTCTCTCTCTCTTATACTCCCTGCTAACACTACCAAAAGGCAATTTTCAGCAAACAGGCAACAAAAAAAAAGAAAAGAAAAATATAGATTATCTAATAGTACATTTGGTGAAAATATTTCTTTTTACTTCAATAATCATTGAATTGAAAAGAGTTTCAGACGAAGAAAAGATGAATGGCTGGCATGCATGTGAGCATCACGTGCGTCCATGAAAAGAACACAAAACACGAGAAAAACCTTTTTTTTTTCCTGAACTTTGATGAAGATGATGTGTTCATCTCTAATACTCTTTCGTATTCTTACATAAATACATCTGTTTGTATATATGGAGACCTTTCGGTCATCTTCTTCATTCTCTTTCTCAAACTGTCTTATCCCTCTCGTACACACTCTCTCTCTATCTCTATCTCTCTATCTCTCTCTCTATCATATATAGCATATACTCTCTCTATGTCTCCATCTCCCTCTTTTACTGTTTTATAAGTTTGTCGGTTAAGTTTCAATGGTTAATATCATAAATATTTGACGTCGATTACACTCAGCAGATCAACAAACGAATGAATAATTTTTCGTTCGAAAGATATTCTGATCGAACCCTTTGATAATGCTTTTCCAAATTGTAGTCAGCATATGGAAGATCAATTATATATTAACCAATTCAATAACATTTTTATTTAAAATAAAGTGGAAGAAGAAGAAAATGGGAATGAAGAAGGATGAAAGAGTAAAGAAGACGAAGAGACAGATGATGATGATGATGATGATACTCTTCTGATGACATCAAACATTTGAGTTTTGCAAAAATACGATTACAATTACAAAGCACATAGTTAACTCGCATGACAACACTCTTTTTCTTTTTTTTTCTTTCTTTTCAGCTCTTTTTGTCATTCACTATGAATATGAGGAGTGCTCATGTACTTTCACTTTCTTCCTAATTCAGATAAAACGGATTGTTTTCTCTCTCTCATACTCTACCTCTCTCTCTCTCTCTCTCTATACATCTATCTCTTTCACTTTGTTAACAAAAAACCATTTGTGTGTTTCATTCCTTTGGTAACAGCCAATCAGAAGATTTTCTCAAGCATGTGGACTCTCTTTCGTTATCTTGGAAGTTTCCCCCTCCTATCTCTCTTTATCTCTTTCCACATTCCCTCTCAGTCTATTCAGTCTCTTCTATTCTTCAGTTCCCTTTCTCTGTTTCTCTTTTCTGTTTCTGTCGTTTTCAAGCTCTATTCAATCTCTGCTCAGCTTATGATCTGGCAACTCACATGACTTTTGTTGTTTTGACCGAAGACTTCCAGACCTCTACAAAAAGAAGATTTTCATGAAACTTTTTGCAATGAACTCTTTACAACATGAAAAACGATTTACAACATACAACATATCACGTTTGTCAACCCCACCTCTCTCCACCTCCCTCCAAAATGCAATTTTAATTGAAATTGAGGACTGGACAGATGATTCTGCCATAAACCATCATCAGCAATTGAGATGTATTTTTAGATCAAAAAGAGTTTATTTGAAAAATTGAAAATAAACAAATAGAATAGAGTAGAAGGTATGAGTTCATATGATTGAAACTGTCAGACAAGCAGGCCACTCACATACACATACACACATACACACATACACACATACACACAGAACCACCAAGAGAAAAACCGTTGCAGAACATAAACATCTATTGAGTATTCAGCAAAAACGAGCTCACAATCCCATATATGGATAGGAAGAAAGGAAAGATGATCAAATGGCATTTAAGTCTCCGATCATATATGGCCTTTGTGAATGTTGGCGATTTGGATTTCTTAAGGAAATTTCAGTTAGAACATGGAAAAAAAGAAAATTTTTGAGAAAGCAGAAAGATAATGTTTGCTCTCAGTTAGAAACGAGGGCGGGTATAAGTATGAGAAAGAGAGAGAGAGGGAGAGAGAGAAAGAGAGACATACATATAGAGAGAGAGAGAGATGGATAGATAGATAGAGAGAGAGAGAGAAAGATACAAAACAAGGGAATAAATTTGCTCTGAGTGTATGGAAATAAAAAAAAGAAAAAGAAAAAGAAAGAGAAAAGAGTTAAAGAAAAGTATTTGATTGAAAAGCAAAAAAATTATTTGTTTGACGCGTTTTTTTGTGAAAAATTTGAAATCTTTGATGATGTTGATGATATGATAGGCGAACAAGTTTAACTAAGGTAAGATGTCAAACTAAATGGGAAAGAAAATAGATTGAAAAGGAGACGAAGAGTATGTGAATGCAAAAGAGATTGCAAAGACATTAATAGAATGGAAGAGGTAATGCTAGAAATGATAGAGAGAATGAAGAAAAAAAGCGAAAATGGTGGAAAAACATGAAAAACAAAAGGGCATTCGGACGAGAAGCAGCCGCACAACCGGCTCCGCCCAGCTATTTTCACTCGCCGGCTTGACATTGATGATCAAAAATTGAAAGAAAACTCATTTATGGGTTGGTTGAAGTGAGTGGAAGGCTTCTCATTTATGAAGCAAACAGGTAGATGAGAAGTAGCAACATCATTCAGCACACTATCATCCACTACAATCATCAGCTAGCTAGCAGTCAGCAGTCAGCAGCAGCAACAACAACACAACAACACAACAACATCAATGATGAAGATGATGATGGGCATTGGTAAGAGAGTGAGAGTCGGATAGTTAGATAGATAGAGAGAGAGTAGAAGATGAAGAAGAAGAAGAAGATATATAGAGACAGAGGATTAGAACTCTGACCATTGGCTTATCAACACACATACTCACACACATACACAAAGCTGAATCATATTCGAGACATTCTGAGCTTTTACTTCAAACTGTTTGTTTTTACAAAATCTTCTTAATCAATGTGTTATAGAGAGAGAGAGAGAGAGAGAGAGAGAGAGAGAGAGAGAGAGAGAGAGAGAGAGAGAGATAATTGGGACATAACAAACTGATAAGCGCCAAATATTAAAAAGTGAAATTCGTTTTTTTTTCTTTTTTTGCTTTTCATTTCGTCTATTTTTCATTTGAAAAAAAAAAATTATTTTTAATTATTTTAAACAAAGGTATTGTTATACGATCGTTCTTAGATTTCACCCCCCAAATAACAAAATGTCAATCAAGCTCACGCAATTTCACGTAAAAATTGACTGAAATAACAAGTTTCTTTCTCCCTCCCTCTCTCTCTCTCCCTCTCTCTCTCTATCCTTTTCTCCAAAATGTGTTTTATGTTCCAAACCTTGCTCTCTTCTTTCCATCCCTCTATCCTCCCATCCCCTCCTTCCCCATCCTCCTCAACCCCTCCCTCCACCCTTAATCACACAACTTTCGAGCCCCTCAGGCAATAATTGACTTCCTATTTATTCATTTTTTTAATCAAATACATTCATTAAATTTTTTGTGATCTATGAACAACAAAAACGCCAATAAAAATGATTTTCAAAACTATTTTCTAATAACGCTCACCCTCCTTTCACTTCCCCTTCCTCACACTCTCTCTTTCTCCTTCTTTATCTGAACAGGCTCTTTATTATGGAAGATGACGACTCCTTACCCTTACACTCACTTCTTGGCATGGAAATCAAAATGAGTAAGAGCGGGACAGGAGGAGAGAGGGCTTGTCAATCCTTTAAAGGCATTGTAAATAATTTGAAAGAAAAAAAAAAGTTTTTCAGGTGTCAAACATTGGTCGATCAATACTAGGGGGGGCTTACAGCAATTAATAGAGTTCTTTCAATATCAAACAGTCTAACAATACAAAGTAAAGTGAAATAACGATAAATTGATGTGTAGAGAGAGAAAGAGAGAGAAAGAGAGTAAAACACAGATATAGAGAGAGGGAGAGAGAGAGAACAGACATCGACATATGGAGAGACATGCAGTCCCACAGGTATTTCCGGTTTTTCATAAAAAATCAGCTGACCTTTTGTAAAGAAACATTCGAAATGACAAAAAGCAAAACTGCGAACCGTTCCTTTTCGGGAGAATACTGAAAGACAACCGCTCTCTGTCCGCAACATAGGTTATAATGAGAATTCACGTGGGCTATGTTGCCACGTGAAAAGAATGCATCAGAAGACAACTGCGAGTAGTTAGAGGAAATGGAATGTTGTGGAGTAGAAAGAGAGGGTTGGAAAGAAGGGAAAGCAATGCAAGAAGGAAAGGAGATGGAGGGAGAAGAATAGAAGGAAAGAGGAATACATGGGTAATACAGTCAAACATTTTATTTGTTTCGCATAAAACATAATATTCTTTTATGGAAATTGTCAGTTTGGGAAATGTATTTAAGTATCTGCAGTTGTGTTCTTTGAATGAACTTTATGAACAAAATATTCAATCAGCCTATAGATGGAAATTCCGGAACTGGCTGGGGTCTAGTGTGTATGTGTGTGTGCAATCAAGAAGATTAGAAATCAGAATAATCTTCTCCCAAATTCTCTTTTTTTTCATTCAAAACACTAACTATAAGATGACAAACCATCTATCTTGCCAATAAACCAGATCATTCTCCCTTCTCTTCATCCAACCCCCCCCTCTCTCTCTCTCTCTCTCTCTTTCCCTTTTTCCCTCTCTTCTTCCCCTCTTCTCCCCCTTTGCCTATTTTTTTCTAAGAAAAACAATATAAATCTTCTATTAATCTTAACCCTCCACCCCCTCTCTTCCAATCATCCCTTCGACCATTCATATTTCACATTTTCCCGCTCAAAATTCTTTTTTATTTTTTATTTTGTCTTTATAAGGATATTATTGATTTGCCACGACTTATTTTTCAACCTTTATGGCTCCGTTTCGTTGACAACTTCGTTTCCTTTTCACCTTTTCTGCTTCTCCTTCTGCTCTTCTTCTTCCTTCCTCATGTTCTTCCTCGATGAACGCTCGATGAACGTTCGTTTCCCATCTTTCTCAAAGTTGTTGTTTTGTAAACACTGCGATTTCAATGTTTTTCATGTATTATATATCAAAACAATTGAACAACGGTTTTGAGATAACCTTCTTTGGCTCCCAATCGTTGTTGTGCCTCTCTCATTCATTCTCTCTCTCTCTCACTCTGATTCACTCGTTCTCTCTCTAGTTCTCTCACTGCACGATGAGCATCTTTCTTGGGCCATTTCTCAAGGCTTTAGCTATCATTTCGTGTTTTCAGCTCTTTCTGTAATTTCTTTCGCATAAATTTTATTTTTTCTTCAAACCTTCTATCTAGTCTCACTCTCTCTCTCTCTCTCTCTATGTCCCTATCTCTCTATCTCCTAATGTATGCCTGTGTCGATTTTCCCTTTTTTAATATCCTGAAAGATACAAAAAGACATACTCAGCATGTGTATACCTAAGAAACTTGTTGTTAATTTAATACGTGACCACCCACAGATTTCCAGATGATATTTTCCATTTTCGTCGTTATCGGGTTTTTCTTGTTGCCATCTCGATCATAATTAAGGTGTATGACCTTTGATTAATACATCACCCCCCACCATCATCATCATCATATATAAACATATGTGAATGAAGCTAATCTCTCATGTTTCATGTCTATAAGCTCATGATGCTTTGAATATGGAAGAGAGAAGAAACCTGTTATGAACTTGACATCTTCCTTTTCCTCTTTTTATTTTCTGATAATTCGCCCTGACATCATGTTTTTGTTCATTTAAGAGAAAATACATATTGATAACAACACATCATTGCTTTTCTATTATGGTCACAAGCATTTTCGTTTTTATCATATTTTACCTGATATTATCTGTGATAAGCAACTGTCATGAGCACGTGGCATAGATATTCAAGAGGCTCAGAAAAACGTCTGGACAGATGACTTACTCTTTTCTCTTTCCTTCTTTTCTCTTTTTTTTTCCTTCACTTAGCAGCTTTTGTAAATAATTGTCAGTTGGAATGTGTCTCAGTCAGTCAATGCTTGTTGCACGTACTTCCGAGATGATTGTGGAATTGCTGGAAATGTGAGGAAAGCCATGAATGCCATGACACACATATACACATTCACATATAGCACAAACACGCATAAACACATAGCTCAAAGCTGCCACAAATGAACATGCGTTTGTACATATATTTACTTTCTTGAGTCTATTGGTTTGGAGGGGTAGAGGGAGATATGAGGAGAGAATGAAAGATGAAGGGAGTCCTGCCAGGACATTCAGAAAAAAAGTGAAGCCCATGGAAAAATAAGAGAGAAGGGGTGGGTGGAATGGAGAGATAAAGTAGAAGCCGGCATTCATTCAACAAACAACATCGATTTATCGTCATCTTCCTCTTTCCGCATCACCTACTTTTCTTTTAATAGATGGATTTACTATATGTTCTCCTTTTCCATTGCTATCCATTCAGTCTGTCTCTCCTATGTTGTTGAAAAATTAATTTTTCAATTTTTTCTTTTCCGTTTCTTCTCTTTCTCTCTCTCTTCACCAATTACAAACAATGTTTTCCAATTTTTGAATTTTTGAAATGATATAATCGATTATCATTTTCCATTTCGTTGTGTTGGGAACCGGTCGTTCCTTTTTTCTTACGCTGATATCCTCTGCAACATTTACTACAAAGGACTTACTTACTTTTGATCCCCTGTCTCTCTGTGTCTCTCTATCATACACACAAAGAATGATTCAGCTATCAACTGACTCTCTTCACGTTTTTCGAGCTTCTCGTTGCAATACTTCTTCTTATACATCTGCTCCAGGTTTCTCTCTACTTGTTTTCGTCGTTACTGATAATCCATTATTCCTCTTACGTTGTTTCATTCTAATCTTTTGCAGGAATGTCCACTTTTGAATCTCCATCGTTACTTAGGCAATTTGAAATGCTTTTGGATGGCAGATCGTTGTTTGTCAATGCTCACTGGATGGCTGAACTTTCTCCTTATTTCCATCAGTAAGGACACTTCTTGATTCTCATGACTATGTCTTGCTTCACAGAATTTGTTTTTGTACAAACTTTGATGAAGCTCGAACAGGCCGTGTGGAGATGAGGGATGTGCATTTCTCCGATGTACTACAGCTTCTAAATTATTGTTGTCCGGATAAAGAGCATCTCTTCTCAAAGAAGATTGATGGTAAACTATATGATCCACTTCTTCATTACAAAATCTTTTTTTTCAGATTTGAATTTCGCTGCTCTGATTCACTGTTCGAATCGTTTTCAAATTCCAACCGTTCAACGAGATTTAGAGAAGTTCATAGAGATTGAAATGAGTAGAGATACTTGTAAACTAACACCGGAAACACTCATCGATGTAATAATAGAAGCTAATTATGCTAATTATAGGTTAGTCTTTATATAGTAAAAGAGCTTAGAATGAAATTATGTGTTCAGACCATCTCTCATGCTGTGCATATACAAGAAATTAAGTAATTTTGGAGAAGTTACTATACGAGAAGCTTTAAAAGCAAAGCAACTACCAGAAGATAGTTGTAAAGCCGTAATGGAGGAAACAGCCAAATACATTGTTTGTTCAGATCAATATTGATTTTTATTTACTTTGTTTTTGTTTTTTTCAGAAAGTAATCCATCCACCAATCATTCGACATAACAATTGGGACACCAGACATAATTACAATTGGGAGCAAAGAGTTTTCTTCTAAACTGAAACTTGGGTATTCGGAATTTTGCTCAAAGCAATCTAATACATATCACTTTCGTTTCGAATCAAAATTATAATTTGTAGATCCAAATTATCAGTTTTGGATAGCTGCTACTTGAACATTTAGCTAATGAATCCTTTTTTGTACATATTCACCAGCCATCCAATGATAAACTCAATAAAGCCGTTCTCCTCCCTTTCTTATTCTTGTGCTTATTCCATCAACCGTGTTCAATATTGAAATTACAATGACAAACATCTTCAGCTATCAAAAATTGAATCAGTGATACAAGCCTGCTCGTTATACCTAATATGAAACGTGAGGGACTCAGATTTCATTGGTGAGAGCTCTTGAGTTAGTTAGGACTGTCTTCTTGTATCAGAGTCAGGCTCTTTTGAGTCGTTTTTCGAAGTTGTCACCAACAATGGCACCGAATTCTGATTTCGTTCCAGACAAGACGACTACTTTCTCCTGTTACAGAACGTACTTCACTGCTCATTTAATAAGAGAATGGATTAACAAACTTAGGTGAGTGTTTCATATCTCAGTTTCGATCTCCTGTAATCAATCGCATCTATTCTTTCGTTGGACAATATGCGTTTACTGTATTTTTATAGTATATAGAGTTCTTACACATATTTGTATTTTCCTCTCGGAGGTAAATCTCGGACACTCGCTCTTTGAATTTTAATTCTTCCTCCTTTCCGATTTCGTGTCGAGACCAAGGAAAATCTGGAAAAGTTCCAAAAAGTTTCAATTTTTTTCTCAAGTTCATAATAAACTTTTCGTTGCATTTTTTCTTTTTGTTTTGGTTTATTTTATTCTGTTTTAATGATTCTCCATAGTTTCTTTCTTGAATGTATGAAGATTGAGCAGCTTCTCTTCGTGCTCCTCATGCAGAGTTGCTGTTTCCATTTTTCTTCGCCACCGCGTTCAAATAAAAAAAATTTGTGAAATTTCGTTCAATTCCAAGAGAGTAACAGCATTTTCCGTACTATCGTTAACATCTGATACCACCGCTCCATGCGCTTCAGATTTTTCAAATGAAACGGGTGTCATTTCATTTTTCCAAAGAAAAAAATAAATTCCCGGCCTTGAATCAGTTCATTTCCCAGGCGTAGCTTTAGACTGATCTGCTTATAGTTTGGTTTTTGTATTTGTTGATCACATACGTGAAGTTACGGGAGTACGGTAGTTGCCAGAGGTTTCTGTTGAAATCCCCAATGTTATCGAATTGTTTAGGTTAACGGTCTAGGTTTTTATTTCGATTTGTTGTTTTAATTTTATTTAATTTTAAATTGATTTCATAAATTACAGATGAAGTATCAGAGGTGATGCTGGAAGGTTCAAAGTTGGGGGCTGTGAAAGGATATGGAAAGTTCGTGAATGACTCAATAATTCGTGTATATCTTTCCTAATGATTCATTCGTAACTTGCTCCGTTCTTGCTGTGACAAGAGGTAATTTGTAAGTTATATACTAGAGATAATAAGTTGTAAAGAATTCTATGTATCCTTCATGGTATGTAGCCTCGACGCAGAAGACGATGATAGGTGAGTTCATACATTTCATTGCTTGTCTGTCTCTATGAAGGTACTTGACTGTTGGTTAGTTGGTTGCTTTGCTTTCTTCATCTCCTATGCTTTTGCAGATATGTAGAGTATTCACAAAGAATGGTAATATTGTGTTGTTCATATGTTTTCCTCAAAGGTTAGTGGTTTTATCTATATAATGCGATCGTTTGCATTTCAGGTATGGAAAGTTATGTGCACAACGGAAGTGGAAGTAGCTCATCTGAAACTTCTTTTTAATCAAACCAATCTACACTTCTATATACGATGGAAGAGGATATACAGTTTCAAACAAAGCTGCTCCCACAAAGAAGAGGCAGTTTTCTGTTTTTAGAGAGAAACCTGACTTCTCTCGAGGACTACATTTATTTCAATTTTGAAAACAGAATAAAGTTCGTAGAGAGATAGGACCAAAATCAGATCAAAAATACTACGGGGTAAACGTGGAGTTTCAGGATTGACGAGTCAAAAAAGGATCGAACATTTCGGTCTTCAAATAAAGATTTTTCAAGTGTAGATTGGATTGGTAAGACCCTAAAGTTGAGTTATGAACTTCTTTGTGAAGTTCTTGATTTTCAAAAATTTTATTGTGGCCTCAGGTGTTGGCTAAGGTTTTGCCACTCTGACTCTGGTTCTGCCACGGGCTATCTTGCGTTTGCGATGTAGCTTTAAGTGTTGAACATGGCAGAGGTGATATCATGCAGTTAAGGTTAGGAGACCGACTGAACAAAAATAATCTTCATTCAACAAGATAGTAATGTTCCATTTTAGCTTAAACAACAGCAGATTCAATAAATAACTCGAAGTTTACATATGTTGTAATGAGACCACCTCGCATCAACAGGTCTTGAAACTTTTCTGACAATTGAACGCGTCAAGTCAATTTTTTGAAATTGCAACTTCAAGCTATGATCTTCATTTCTCCTGACATCTATTCTGTGTGATATTTATGTTTTCGAAAGTTGATCATAGACGGCTTCTATTGTCACTCGAACGGAGCTGTTAAGATAACTCTGATTTTTTCTCTTGTAACAGTCAGTTTGAATGTTGTTAGGTGTTGAATTGTCATCAAGAGGTCAAAACGAAATTGGCTATATTGAAAAGTTTCCGCACTCGTACATAC